ATATATATATATATATATACACACACTTCTGGTCAACAGCTTAGACTCATTTGCATTTATTTCAAAACTTTCAAAAATAGTTAAATGTTTCTGACTTAAACATACAATTTATCAAACATAATCATAAACAAGCATCTCAAAACTCTGTTTTCTTTTAAAACTGTCCATTATTTTTTCATTTTGTATCTATTCTGTAGTTGATAACGAAATGAACGAAAGCGCATGTAAGTACCTATTCTAAAACAAGCGTAATTTATTTTTAAAAAAAATTATTAATTTTTTATTTTACAAGCAATTTACTTTTCATCTTCTTTTATGGGGCTAATTGTAAGTTATGTTTATGTACATGACAAATTTTAAATATTGATATAATAGCCTGAATAACTGGTATATATTAAGAACAAAAATTAATTCTTTTAATGCAATTTATTACAGAAATATTGGTCAAAAACGAGAAATAAGTGTGGAAACACGTGCAGTTATTATTACACTTCATGCAGAAGGCTATTCAAGTAGGCAAATTGCCTCTAAAGCTAATGTTTCTCAGACCACTGTTGTCAGAACTTTGCAAAGGACGAAAGAAACTGGCCAAAATAAGAGCCGCCAGTGATCAGGGAGACCTAGAATGACGTCCAAACGTGAGAATAATTTTATCTGCATTCAAAGTAAACGGCAGTGGACTCGAGCAGCACCAGAATTCCGTGAGGAATTGAATGCTACTCGGCAGAAAATTGTGTCAGTATCTACTGTACAACGTCGACTTCGTGACTATGGTTTAAAAAGTTGTGCAGCTGCTAGAAAACCTCTTTTGATAAAACAAAATAAAGTAAAACGACTGCAATGGGCTAAAAAACATGTTACCTGGTCTTTAGAACAGTGGTCAAAGGCTTTTTTTTACGGACGAATCAAAATTTGAATTGTTTGGAAGCAAACAAACACAGTATGTTCGTCGTTTATTTGGTGAACGTATGACAAGTCAATGCTTACTACCAACTGTGAAGCATGGTGGAGGTTCAGTCATGATTTGGGGATGTTTTGCCAGTGATAAAGTAAGAATAAGTAAGATAAAGTAAGATAAAGTAAGATCTTGTAAGAATAGAGGGTATTATGGATAAAAAATATTATCACAGAATATTCCAGCGTTACGCTTTTCCATGTGGACAGAGAATCGTCGTTGTTCAAGGATTTGTTTCAGATTTGTTTTCTAGGATTTGTTTCGTTGTTCAAGATAACGATCCAAAACATTCATCGAAATTGTGCAGAAACTACATTGCATCAAAAGAAAATAAAAAAGTACTGAAATACATGGATTGGCACCCTCAATCCCCTGATATTAATCCTATTGAGCTAATGTGGGATGAACTCGATAGAAATGTCACAAAAATGAGATGGACCAATCAAAGCAAGCTTTGGGAATCTTTACTTAGTTGCTGGAACCAGATATCAGCTAGACCATTGCAAAAACTAATAGAAAGAATGCCAAAAAGATGTGCTGCTGTGATAAAGACTAAAGGAGGATATTTCGAAGAATCCAAGATTGGACGAAATTTATAAGTTACGCATACAATTACAGTTCTTACCATATAAGCGTACCTAAATTTCTCAAAATAAAGTTAATTTAATGTAATTTTTAGTTTAAAAGAAGTTCATTTTTAATTGTTATTTGTCTATTTTTAAAAATTCACGAGTGAGTCTAAACTTTTGACCGGTAGTGTAAACCTCTACCATTTATATGGTAGAGGTTTACCGAAAATTCTAGTTTTCAAAATTAAAGTTCTTATTAGTTCTTTTTAAAACATTTACATTCAAAAACCATATTGCATTATTAATTTTACCAAAATCTTTTCCAAANCTCTTTTGAAAAAACAAAATAAAGTAAAACGACTGCAATGGGCTAAAAAACATGTTACCTGGTCTTTAGAACAGTGGTCAAAGGCTTTTTTTTACGGACGAATCAAAATTTGAATTGTTTGGAAGCAAACAAACGCAGTATGTTCGTCGTTTATTTGGTGAACGTATGACAAGTCAATGTTTACTACCAACTGTGAAGCATGGTGGAGGTTCAGTCATGATTTGGGGATGTTTTGCCAGTGATAAAGTAAGATAAAGTAAGATCTTGTAAGAATAGAGGGTATTATGGATAAAAAATATTGTCACAGAATATTGCAGCGTTACGCTTTTCCATGTGGACAGAGAATCATTGTTCAAGGATTTGTTTGAGATTTGTTTTCAAGGATTTGTTTCGTTGTTCAAGATAACGATCCAAAACATTCATCGAAATTGTGTAGAAACTACATTGCATTAAAAGAAACGAAAAAAGTACTGAAATACATGGATTGGCCCCCTCCATTCCCTGATATTAATCCTGTTGAGCTATTGTGGGATGAACTCGATAGTAATGTCACAAAAATGAGATGGACCAATCAAAACAAACTTTGGGAATCATTACTTAGTTGCTGGAACCAGATATCAGCTAGACCACTGCAAAAACTAATAGAAAGAATGCCAAAAAGATGTGCTGCTGTGATAAAGACTAAAGGAGGATATTTCGAAGAATCCAAGATTGGACGAAATTTATAAGTTACGCATACAATTACAGTTCTTACCATATAAGCGTACCTAAATTTCTCAAAATAAAGTTAATTTAATGTAATTTTTAGTTTAAAAGAAGTTCATTTTTAATTGTTATTTGTCTATTTTTAAAAATTCACGAGTGAGTCTAAACTTTTGACCGGTAGTGTAAACCTCTACCATTTATATGGTAGAGGTTTACCGAAAATTCTAGTTTTCAAAATTAAAGTTCTTATTAGTTCTTTTTAAAACATTTACATTCAAAAACCATATTGCATTATTAATTTTACCAAAATCTTTTCCAAAGCGGTGTAAAAGTTTTCGAAATTTTTGATGTTCATATACAGCCGTAAATATGGTAAATTATATTATGTTCTGATAGTTGTGACCATCCTTTTTTCTCCGTGTATATCATAGAAATTTCTAAAAAAAATGTAAGGTTCATGCCACATAAGAAAATATTGTATAACATTACAGTAAAGACAGATGTTATAGTTTATCGGTACCACTTTTGATAAAACTCACGTTATTACCGTATTCTATGTTTATATTTGTTAATAATGCTCGCTGTATAATTTTATTTTGCAATCATTAATAATGCTCGTAAAGCTTTTGAATTTCCTAATGGATGCAAGGTCATCGTTATCGGTAATGCTCGTAATGCAATCTAATATGATTAAGATCGTGATATTATCGCTGTGGATCATTTTGCTTAGTATGGTATTCACTATATACTATTTGAATGCTTTTTAAAACATCACTATCGCGATATTAAAATAATAATATTTCCTAATTGATGGATAAAACATTAAGCTCATGTGTGGACCAATCCATTTTGATTTTTTGAGCTTTCTGTTTCATTGTCCATCTCTCCAACAATGCTACTCTAATAAAAGGTTGTTATTCTAGAAACTTACTATTCTAGAAATCGACTCACTTTTGAAGCTTACGTGAGGATATTACTTTGCTTATTCCTGTAACTATTAGAAAAATAACATTTTAATTATTCTAACAGTTTCATTAGTTAAAAGACATCCCGCACGACAATATTTATATCAGCGCAAATTAATAACTCATTAAATGTATTGAAGGTTAATGTATTCTCTGTAACAGCGTTAATTGGCGGTTTTTAAACATATGGTAATACTACTTTTGATAGAATGATAGATGTAACTCGATAATGAAATGCTGATGATAATAAAACATGGGTATTAAAATGTTACAAATAATTGGTAAACTGAAAGAAGAAGAAAACAGCAGGTGCTTAGAACTTCATTATCTTAATTATTATTGAGATAATAAAAGGAAATCTGTAGACAATCATGTTAGACCATGGGTCGCCAAACTTTTTTCATCATCGACCCCTATATAATTTTTCGAAATCTCCATCGACCCCCATAAAAGCAATTTTCCGCTAATTAAGATAAAACTCTATTAGATATTGTGTTTGTACATTTATTTTAAGATTTAAACATTTATTAAAGTAATAGTACATTGTGTAACAATAGTTTCATGAAAAATATATTAATGTTGAAATTTAAATACCGTAATATTTTTTTAAATAATAAGTAATTATAAATAAGTAGAAATAATAAGTAAAGTAACTACAGATTTATTGCTTCTTAACCAATGAGATGAGTGTGCCTGGTGTTCTTTTGCAAGGTTCGCTATATTGGATTCAAAATTGGTCAATTTTAATTTGAAATTCCATCGTAACTCCACATTTAATTTATTTCTGTACTTAGATTGAATTTACGTGACTGAAACCGGATTCAACCATATAGGAACTAGGATAAGCTAGCATAAAAAGGCTGAGCTATTTCATAAAGTTCTACATATTTTTGCATTATATTTATATTTGTTCAAAATTTACTTATTGTTAAATTTTCAAAAAATATCCTTGCTTCAAGATCCGATAATAATTCAGCAAACTCATCTTGCAGGTTGATGTCCACGCTTTTGATGATACGTTTATTAATTTATGTTCCATAAAGAAACTGATATTAAGTGAATTAAAAAAAAAATCACAAATTTTACATACTCAATTAGATGTTTGGGATTTACGTATTAAGAACTGTTTTTTCTTCGAACCTCAAACGACCCTTCCGATTCGGATCGGCCCCCATTCGACCCCCTGGCTCAGATCGACCCCCACTTTTGTTTAATAGACCCCTGGGGGTCTATATAGATCACTTTGACGACCTCTGTGTTAGACGATAGTGAAGATTCCGTAAAAGTTTTATTGCAAGTAAAAATGAGCTAGCTTAAATAATAAGGGTACCTAAACCAATTATTGAAATTCACTGAACAATCAGCTTCTTGAAATTAAAAGAAATAGTTTTTAAATATAAAAATATGTATTTATATCGTATTAAACGATAGAGAAGATCCTGTAAAAGTCTTTTTGTAATGAAATATAAAAATTATATTTAAATCATGTTAGACGATAGGAAAGATCCTGTTGTAATTAAATATAAAAAGAAATATGTATTTAAATTATGTTAGATGATAGAGAAGATCCGGTAAAAGTTTTATTATAATTAAATATAAAAAATATGTTTTTAAATCATGATAGATGATAGAGAAAATCCCGTGAAAGCTTTACTGTAATTAAATGTAAAAAATTCATATTTAAATCCTGTTAGACAATTGAGAAAATCCTGTAAAAGTTTTATTGCAAATAAAAACGTACTAGCTTAAATGATAAGAGTACCTAACTCAATCATCGAGATTATAAATTCACTAATCCATCATCATTTTCATAAAATTTTTTAAAAAAATAGTATAATAAACCAGGCTAGCTCTCTATGTTATTTTTCAAACATTTTAATTAATATAAAAAATACAAACACAACACTAACAAATATCAAACAACATTTTTGTACTACATATACACATCTACTTGTAAGCAAAACGTTCTACAGAAGAATCCGAGAGGATCATGGGTGAAGTTTTCCCTAGCTCCCTCTTTCGGGCAAACCAGGCATTACAATAGTTTTTTAGGATAGAAAATATATGTTTAAGTGTCTTTGAAACACT